TCTTTACATCACGCGATCAGCCCAAAGTTCTAGGACTGTACTCCCCATCGTCCCTTTAAATTACCAGCAGAGGCTGTAATCCACGAACGCAGTGTGGATTGAAGCATATGGCGGGGAATTTCAAAAATCGAGAGGCAAAACGACCATCATCACACTCCACGAACAACCTTCATGGTGCCACTTTCCTGTGGAAGCGGCTGTTATAACAATGCATGATTCGGTTTCCTGTATTATATTCAGGTTCAATTCAGTATTTGAAGCGCTCACTGTACGTCATAAACCTGCCATTGAGCCTGCGTCTCTAGCTTGCGCGATAACCAGGCTATTTTCGTTTGTTTCCATGCCGTTCCATCAGACTGGCTTTTGCGTAGTAGAAAGGCGCAGTGCTTGACACAAAGTAGCCAACAGAGGGCGGAATCGCACAGTAAGCGGAAGACGGATTTTGTTTAGTCAACAAAACTCCAATAAGTACGGTGACAGACAGTAATGCTTCTTCTCGGAAAAACCTATCTATCAGTGTTCTAACATCTTTTCTGATTTAGTTTTTGATGGCTTTTCTCATCTCTGGTACACAGTTATTATTTATAACATTATGTGGCTGGATTCTTCAGTTGATGGTATTTCGGGTTATGGGTTATTGATCACCCATCGGTTCAGGATTATTTTCAGTGGAAGGGTAGTCGATTCTGTAGTCGATTTGCACGAATGGGATTGCTGCTCGCAAGTATAAAGGAGTTCATATTTGCGCCGTCTGCGCTATCTGCACCGAAGCCGAGGCTCTCAGTGTTGAACTTCGTCGTGCGCGCCCGCAGAGTCCACACAGTACATGGGGTATCCGGTTCGTAAGTGTGACGCCACTTCATTTTAAACCACGCCCACTGCACAAGATACAGGACCATCGCGAGTACGTTAGTTCGCGGTCAATGGTCGTTATTTTTTCTTTTCATTTTACTTGTCGAGTCATCCTGAAAGACTCTTCAACAAAAATTTGCAGCCTGAAAAGTCTGAATTTAACATACTGTTATGTATTTTGTGTCTTGACTCCTTACTTTTAATCGTTTGATCGTATTAAGAGTTGAAGCTGACACATACAGCCTCGTTTTCAAACGCGGAAGTGCGCAGATCGACGCTAAAAGTGTCGTATTGGGATCCCTCTTGAACAACAAGAGGTAAGTTGGCAATTGAAAATGGGATGAGGTAGGCGCATCGTGAACGGTGCACCGCAGAATTTCAGCACACATCTCTCTTAATTGAAGTTTTGTATTCGGTCTGAAGGGCTATACGGCTACATGATGATTACGCAATTCTGTCCGACCTCTTTTCACTTTCTGATTGGGTTTCAGATGAAACATTGCAATGGTGAACCATGAAAAATTAAAGTGAAATTAAATGAAAAATTTCAGTTGAGGTGGTGCACTGTCTCCGTTGTTATCACTTGCGCGAGTGCAGTATTTTTAAAGAGCGAGATGTAAGCGCTCCCTATCCCATTCGTAAGTGACGTTGTCATAAAGGCGGACGCGCCACGACTTGCAGGCTCCCATTGGACGATCGCTGAAGTTGTGCGTTAACTCCGGATTCCATGGCTCCATTCAGATGGCAATCAGTGCATGTAACCCCTTGATCTCCATTGTATCTGCTCCGACCATGAATAAAAGAGGGTCTATTTTGACATGAAATCGACAGTCCTTCAGTTTATGCGCGTTGACGCTGAGCACACTGAATACGCGCAACGATTTTTAATTATACCGTGCACTCCGAACGCGTGTTAGAACCCGATTGGAAAACTTATTGCCACCTGTCTTTCTTTCGCCGACGAGGGTGCACTTCGGCTCAGGGCGGATAACGTGTCAATCAAAGATCGTATAGGGCCGCGAAGTGGCGCCTTCGGCGCTATACGATATCTGGTTTCAACCACTCAGTATTTACACAGCAACATTCTGGGCAGTAAGTTGAATGACTTTGTTATCTCCTTAATTAATGTGAACAGCAAAAAGCAGTATCTCTGAGATGGCCGAGTGGATAAGCTCGCGGTTATCGGATCGTCAAG